GTGATTATGGGCATCATGGGTTTTATGGCTTTCTGGATAGCCATGCTTAATCTTGTCATATGTATAGGGTTTTCTTTTGACTTTTCTGCTCACATTTCTTATGCATTTGTTTCCAGTCCAGAGCCCTCAGTAAACTGAAAACCCATTGAGGCATTGTATCTGCTAGGCTACATTGTGTTACAAAGTGCAGTTTCAACAATAATAGGGATGTGTGTCCTATCTGCAGCTAAAGAATACATCTTCAGGACATTTCTTAAGATTGTTTCTTGTGATGGTATTTGGAGCTGCTCATGGTCTAATTTTTACCCCAGTATTCTTAACCTAAAAGCCACTAACAAAGACCAACTGCAGAATTCCTGATTGGCCCAATCCAGTATGATGAAAACGTGCTATTAAGAATAGTCAATAGACTAAAAGCAAAGGCACGTTTCCTTGGCTTGGAAGTGCCATTAAAAAATGTTATTTAAAATATCCTGAGAGGAGAGAGAACAAGATGGCAGAGGAGTGGGTGGACATGGAGTACACCTCTCTGCACAGATACATCAGGAACACACCTTCAGACACAGAAGTGCATGCAGAACCCCAGCTGAGAGCGGACAGGATTACCTGACCAGTGGAAAAGAATATACAGAACCATGCAAAACTCGGTAGGATGAAGGAACTAGGTGGGGAAACAGGAGTGTTAAGAGAATTGGACCTGCACTCGGCTGGTGGGAGAACTGAAGCAGGGGTCTGATCCCCACATTGGGGCAATTGCCTGAGTCAGAGGAGAAACACTTAAGGCTGAGAGTGAAATAGCTGGTCTGTTGCAGCCTAAATGGAATGAGAATCAGACAGTCCTTGTGGCAGCCATGCAAACCCTGGACAGGGACACAGGTCCCTAGAAGGTACAGCAGCTGGGAGCTGGAGTTTAGGGATTGTGGAGCAATCCCAGGGCGAGGGCTGCTGTTGACTGCAGAGAGACAGATCAAGGGGATGTGAGGGAGGAGCTTGTGCTGGGAAATGCTTGTGGTGGGAAATTCCTGAGCCATACAGCAAGTTCCTGTTGGCTATCTATTTTACATATGAATCCAGGGAGTCTATTCTTTAGAGAATATAACATTAATATTACATCATCACAGGAAATCACTTCTTCTCAGGCCTTCATTCAAACCATGAGTATTTCTTCTTCAACCAATAAGAAACTGATGTCACACCAGTTCCGAGACATGGCTGAGAAATGTGAAGTTCCCTTAATGGTATACAACCAGGCATTCATATATTTTGATCAGTATTCTGCAATATTAGAAAACAGTGTTCAAAAGGTGACTGTTGCATCAACAGTTCATTGTTTCTTTATTGTTAATTCTTCATCCCCTGTGTTCTTTGTGGGTAACTTTTGCTATTGCTTCTGTGATTATGGGCCTCATGGGATTTACGGCCTTCTGGAATGTCAATCTCGATTCCATAGCCATGCTTAATCTTGTCATATGTATAGGGTTTTCTTTTGACTTTTCTGCTCACATTTCCTATGGATTTGTTTCTAGTTCAGAGATCTCAGGAAACTGAAAACCCATTGAGGCATTGTATCTGCTAGGCTATACTGTGTTACAAAGTCCAGTTTCAACAATAACAGAGGTGTATGTCCTGTCTGTAGCTAAAGCATACATCTTCAAGACATTTCTTAAGATTGTTTTCTTGTGATGGTATTTGGAGCTCCTCATGGTCTAAATTTTTACCCCAGTATTCTTAACCTTTTTTTGAAAGTTAGTTTGAAAAGCCACTAACAAATCAAAGACCAATTATAGAATTCCTGATTAGCCCAACCCAATCTGATGAAAACGCGCTATTAAGAATAGTCAATAAACTAAAAGCAAAGGCATGTTTCCTTGGCTTGGAAATACCCTTTTAAAATGTTATTTAAAATATCCTGAGAGAGAAGAGAACAAGATGGTGGAGGAGTAGGTGGACATAGAGTACATCTCTCTCCATATACACATCAACAATACACCTTCAGAGACAGAAGTGCATGCAGAACACCAGCTGAGAGTGGACAGGAGTACCTGACTGGTGGAAAATAATATATAGAACCTTGCCAAACTCGTAGGATGAAGGAACTGGGGGCAAAACAGGAGTGGGAGATCTCAGATGCCTATTCGGGACTACAAATGAGTGCCATTCTAATGGTCACCCCCAAAATTAAGTTTATGGGGATAAGATTTCTCAGGATAGATCTAAAGAGCCAACACTGCTTGGCAGGGGTTGTACTCCAAAACAGACAGGAGATAGATCTCCTGATCTCTGAACAAGGAGGGACTTGAACCATCTTGAATGAGATGATCTGTTTCTGGGTAAATACCTCCAGCTAAGTTAAAGAAAGTCTCACAGTCCTCACGAAAAACATTCAGGTGATACAGGATCTGAAAGAATGAGCTGCAGAGTTCTCGGGGTGGCTACGATCTCTCTTTGGGGGCCCTTCTCCTGGCGACGGGGAATTTGGAGTTGGCTAATGCCCCTACTAATCCTTGTTATCACCATATTGATGCTGCCTATGATTGCTTCATATATTACTGATTGTTTAACCTATTTTGTCTCTGCTCAGGTCAACAAGCTGCAACATGCAGTGCCAGTTCAACAAGGATATATAAAACTACACCCAACCATGGAAAATATCACTCACTCTTAGATGGACACCACTTTAAGGACTCTGAGGCTTCAAACTAGCAAGAGGGGGAGGCCCATTGCCACTCACCATCCCAACTCAGCAGGAAGTAACCAGAGAGAGCTTGACACCTCTATTCCCAAGGAAATGGGCCTCCCATCTCTTCAGGTGGGAATGTTAGTTAGAATAGGAAAAAGGAGTCCCAAATGGCAGTGACTAAAAGACAAAGAAAGGGAAAAAGCATGCGAAATGATACAAAAGAAAATCTGAGGACCAAAGTGAGAACCTCAGGTGAAACAAACAGCCCTCCTGGCTAGCCCAGTTTCCACAGGGCAGGCTCAGGGGCAAGAGACACATGTATAAAAAGAGGAAGCCAAGATGGATCGAGGCCTCCCCTTTGGGGCTGGCCTGCTCTCACGCCTCGAGGGTGTACTTTCCTTGGCTTGCTGAATAAAACTCTGAGCCATAACCGAGCTGTAACACTGGTCCGCTGTGTTTCAAATCTTTGCTGTGGAAAGACAGAATCAAGGATGTTACATACTCCCCCGACATATCTACACATTATATTTATTATCACATTAAAATATTTTTAGAGTTTACTAATAAAATTGTTTTACCTGTAGCATGATACAATTTCAAATAATATGATTAGAAGGTATGCCAACTGAAACAAGGGGACCACTGTCATAGAAGTTGCCTCAAATTTCAATTGTCTGGAAAGTGATGTAGAGGACCTGCCACAAAAATATATTCAGGAAAAGAGCTTTCTATTCTGATATTGTGTGTGTTACATATGATATTAAAACACTACAGCTTGTTGATTTAAACATTAAAATTCAGTAAAAAATCAAAATACATGGATTATGATTTTAGAATAAGAAGGTAATGAAGATTTGCTTCTTCCCACAAAGCTCTGGCATGCTTTTCAAAGTTTCTTTCAAAAATCTAAAGTTTAAAACTCCTGAATATGCAAAATCTGTATCTTAGACGAAACTGTGAAAGCATTAATAACTGTGACATTAAGACTTTTTCTAAACTTCTATTAGGTTGTTATCTTTTACTATTATAACTGCACAAACACCATTTCAGAAAGGCCTGAGTATTAAAAGGCTTTTTTCCAGAAGGTGTCTTCTCATTTTCACCAGTTTTATTCAGAGGACCAGGTTTGCCAGCCCACAAATTACTGGACAGCTAATATGTGCCTGTCACTATGCTATAATTTACTTGTAAAATGCTCATCTTTCTTTCTCAAAAGCATCATGGAACTTTGGTTTAAAGTTTTGTTTTTTTATTCCAATGAACTCCAAACAAAGTTTAGGGGGCTCCCAGAAACAGCAAAGGCTTGAACTAGAAGTAAGAATTTCAGAGTAATTTGACCAGAAAACCAAACTAAACCTGAAGGTCAAAGTCTGTACTGAACAGACCTACCCTGAGAATGTACCATTTGTGTTTTTAGCCATAATGTTACCAAAGATTTAAGATTTGTGGCATTCTTTGTTTTTTTAGGTCCTATCTCTTTTTACTTAAAAAAAAAAAATTATTGTAGCTGCTTTACAATGTTGGGTTAGTTCCATGCATACAGCAAAGTGAATCAGTTATACACAAATCCACTCTTTTTCAGAAGCTTTTGTGGCTTTTTTCAGTGTCCTATTTTAAGAAAGTTGGATTAAGGATCAAATAAAGCAGAGCACAACTGGCTTCCAGTCAAGGACTCTACCTGATAATCTGCGAGCGCTGCTGCTGTGGTCCTTGGAACAAGTCCTCTTATCCCTCCCACCTTCTCCTGGCCTCCCTATAAACCCCATCCACTAGGTACCTTGATCTTCTTCAACACCAGACTCTTTTCAAGGCTGCCAACCTTCTCAGGAAGTGGATCACCCACACCTTGCTACGTTCATTTTCCCCTCCTTCACCTGTCTTCAGCTGTCTTCTGGTAGTGCTGCAGCTGCATGGTTTTGGCCTTGGAGGAGTAACTGGATCAGCCTCATACTCTCGCCTAAGACAGTTTCTCCCAGGATGTTGGCCAGGTAGCTGATCTGACCAGCTTGGCTGTAGATGGGGAAGGTGATGGTTTCCAGGGTGAGGCCCTTGATCCTTTTCCAGGCGAACAAGAGTGGGTTGCGGGGGACACAGGAGCCCTGCTTCGAAGCGCACACCTTGCTATAGGGGATCTGGGTTCCACTGTCCTGTGTCACAGTCAAAGCCTGCACCCGCCTTCCACCTTGCCAATTTCTTCTAAGATTTCTGGCTCCAGCAGTGTCTTGGTGTTAGAGACCCCTAGGATGGAGGCATAATTGACCTCGGTGGAGGTGGAAAAGATGAGAGAGTCCTTGGAGGTGAAATGTTCCTGCACAAAGCGTCACACAGCCTTGGCAGAGTTCCCTACTGGGTTGTACTTCTCCTCGAGGTCGTCGTCTTCATCCTGGGGCTGGTAAATCAGGCCAGTGCCGAGAACGGCTGTTAACACCATGGGCAGCAGCAGGAAGATCCAGGGTTGCGAGCCCACCTTCCAGCCCAGCTGCCGGAAGGCCCGGGACAGCGGCGCCTCCAGGCAGTTGGTGTGGCAGCAGGCCCGCTGGGCCAGTTGGTTCTTAGACCGCAGTGCCGGCGGAGGTAGTTGAGCCTCGGGCACGACTCGGGAGGGGCTCTGCGCTCTGCCCCGCCCCCCAGCCGAGTTCGGTTACCGGTCTTGACCCGAGGCCGAGGGCAGCTCAGGCTCTAGGCCAGGCCCTGCAGGGGGACAGATCTCTCTCTCCAAGTCAAGCCCCGACTCCGACCTGGACCCCTGGGACTGGGACACAGACTCTTGCCCTGACTCCAACGGTTTCCTGGAGAAGTTCCAAGCGAGTCTGTTTGAACCCGGGCTGCTTGCGCCCGAATGCTAGAGTGTCCTTGGCGGTCACGTGGTAGCCTCAGTTCAGTTCAGGTCAGGTCAGTCGCTCAGTCATGTCCGACTCTTTGCGACCCCATGGGCTGCAGCATGCCAAGCCTCCCTGTACTTCACCAACTTCCTGAGCTTGCTCAAACTCATGTTCATCAAGTCAGTGATGACATCCAACCATCTCATCCTCTGTCATCACCTTCTCCTCCTGCCTGCAGTCTTTCCTAGCATCAGGGTCTTCTCCAATGAGTCAGTTCTTCGCATCAGATGGCCAAAGTATTGGAGTTTCAGCTGCAGCATCAGTCCTTCCAATGAATATTCAGGACTGAGCTCTTTTAGGATGGACTTGTTGGATCTCCTTGCAGTCCAAGGGACTCAAGAGTCTTCTCCAACACCACAGTTCGAAAGTATCTGTTCTTCAGCGCTCCACTCCAATACTCCTGCCTGGAAAATCCCATGGACAGAGGAGCCTGGTAGGCTGCAGTCCATGGGGTCACTAAGAGTCGGACATGACTGAGCGACTTCACTTTCACTTTTCGCTTTCATGCATTGGAGAAGGAAATGGCAACCCACTCCAGTATTCTTGCCTGGAGAATCCCAGGGACAGGGGAGCCTGGTGGGCTGCCGTCTATGGGGTCTCACAGAGTCAGACATGACTGAAGTGACTTAGCAGCAGCAGCAGCAGCAGCAAGTGAACAAATGTCTTTTTCTTAAAGCACAAGAACTGTATCTGTGAGATGATTTTTGTAGAAGGGGATTTACTGGACCAAAGGATCCCATTTTCATTTTCTTAGTTATTGATAAAATCCATAGAATTTGGGCTTCCCCAGTGACTCAGCAGGTAAGGAATCTGTTTGCAATGCAGGAGACACAGGAGAAGTGGGTTTGATTCCTGGATGGGGAAGATCCCCTGAAGAAGGAAATGCAAACCCACTCCAGTATCCTTGCCTGGAAAATCCCATGGACAGAGAAGCCTGGCAGGCTACAGTCCATAGCGGCACAAAGAGTCATACAGGACTGAGCAACTTCACTCATTGAAGCTGTATCAATTTACACCCTCATAAGCAGTGTAAGAAGTTCTTTTTTGTCAAGACTATCCCAGAATGTCATTAAAGTGTTTGATTTGTGTCATTCGTATCTCAATTTGATTTTACTGTTTTAGATTTGTTGCTTAGACTCACCATTATTTCCTCTTTGGGTGAATTGTCATCTTATAGCTTTCCCTGGTTTCCCTTTTGGACTATTCAAATTTTCTTCTTCACTATTGAAACTATGAAATTAAAAGATGCTTGCTCCTTGGAAGAAAAGTTATGACCAATCTAGACAGCATATTAAAAAACAGAGACATTACTTTGCCAACAAGGGTCCATCTAGTCAAAGCTATGGTTTTTCTAGTAGTCATGTATAGATGTGAGAGTTGAACTATAAAGAAAGCTGAGTGCCCAAGAATTGATGCTTTCGAACTGTGATATTGGAGAAGACTCTTGAGAGTCCTTTGGACTGCAACAAGATCCAACCAGTCCATCCTAAAGGAGATCAGTCCTGGGTGTCCATTGGAAGGACTGATGCTGCAGCTGAAACTCAAAAACTTTGGCCACCTGTTGCAAAGAGCTGACTCATTTGAAAAGACCCTGATGCTGGGAACAATTGAAGGCAGGAGGAGAAGGAGATGACAGAGGATGAGATGGTTGGATGGCATCACCAACTCTATGGACATTAGTTTGAATAAACTGTGGGAGTTGGTGATGAACAGGGAGGCCTGGCGAGCTGTAGTCCATGGGGTCACAAAGAGTTGGACATACTGAGTGACTTAACTGAATTGATAGAAACTATTCATATACTAAGGAAATAATCACGTGTTCCTGTGTTTTGAGTGATGAGTATCCCCCTACCCTGCTCTCCCACCCCCACTTTGCTAGTTGTCATGCCTTATGTTTGTAGTTGAATTAACTTAATTTTTTAAATGAGTTCTGGATTTTGTTGCATAATAGACAGTCGTTTCCCTTGTACTATGGCTTTCCTGTGGCTCAGCTGGTAAAGAATCTGCTTGCAATTTGGGAGACCTGGGTTTGAGCCCTGGGTTGGGAAGACCCCTGGAGAAGTGAAAGCCTACCCACACTAATATTCTGGCCTGAAGAATTCCATTTGCAGAGTCAGACATGGCTGAGCAACTTTCACTTTCACTTTCCCTTGCAGTAATTATAATCTACTTTAAAATTTACTTATATTCCTTTTTTAAATTGTTGAAGTATAGTTGATTTATAATTGTTTCCATTTCTGGTGTATAGTAAAGTGATTCAACTATATATATATAAGTTTACTTTTTGTTTTCTAAGATCACCAAACATTTTATTCAGCTATTGCAGTAGCAGAGAGACTTCAGTGTAAGCTGAGCTCATCTTTGCTGAAACAAAAGATGAGAGTGAGAGGGTAGCAGGCAGGAAGGCGAGGGGTCTCCAAATGGAGGAAATAGGCTGCAAGTGTCAGACATTTTTTCTCTCTCTCTTAAGGGGAAGGAGGAAACAAACTACAAGTGTCAGATTTTTTCCTTCTCTATACAAATTTAAAAGAAGGTTTCTTTTGAAATTCTGTGATGCCATGACTACACCTGGTTCCACCTGAACTTAACTTTTCTTAAACCTTGAGCTAACCAATGGGTTTTTCTTATGGAAATGTTTTTCTTAAGCTATGTTAATGAACTCTGTATTTACCCTAGACTCTGCCTTTCTTCAAGTCTGTTCTGCCTAAGACCTAGAACCAACTTGACAAGCCAGTATGCTCTTGACAAGCAAATGCTCTCTTAAGTTATGTTAATGAGACTATGTCTTTGCTTGGAAAACTGCCTTTCTTCAAGATTCATGTCAATCATTTTATGGCCCAGGACAACTCACCTTGTGCCAATATTATCTCAATGCATGTTGTGGGTGAGGGGCCTGGTGCTACTCTGAGTTTTGAGACATTTCCTTTCTCTAATTAGTAGCCTGCTGATAGGAATATAACATACTGCTGAAGGCTAACAGGAGGGCACTCTTTCTGCCCCCTTCTGATGTCTATGTCAGAAGCTTTGTCTATCTCTCTTATTCTTTAGTAAAACTTAATCACACAAAAGCCCCGAGTGTTCAAGCCTCATCACTGTTCCCGGATTCAATTCCTCTCCTCTGGAAGCCAAGAATCTTGGCATCTTTCACAGCTCAGCAACAACCTTTCAGAATATTTCTATTTAGTTGTTTACTTGGAGGATAATTGCTTTATAATGTTGTATTACTTTTGTTGGGGCCAGTGTTAGGAAAGCAGGAGAGACGCCATTTTGAAGTCTGCCATCCATCTTAAAGACAGGATGTAAACTGGGCCTAAACCCTGCCCAAGAGTGAGGAAACCATTGCTAATGAAAACCAGGTCTCCTGGAGACTTCACTCCCTACAGATGGCAAACGGAGACTGTAGTTGAGGTTAGGCTGCCCCTGTTACATGTAACCATGGAGACATCCCCCCCTCCGTGATGTATAATCAGTGTTCCCCCCCTTTCACCTTAATTGTTTGTTCTCCTAGCACCTACTTGTTGTAAAACTCAGTCATATGCAACAAAGAGTTTGCTAACACGTAACCAGTCACCTAGCAGTATTAGGGGAAGCACACTGACTGAAACCACCCACCCTGGCCAGGCGCCATAGTAACCATTTGCATGAGTTGTTTTAACACAGGAGGTCCTGGTAAGGAACACAGAACTAATAAACCACCATCAACTGGAAGAGTTCAGGAAAGGTCAAAAGGAGACACCACATGTCTGACCACCTCCCAGAATCTCTAGCATCCATCTTGGCTGAAGAAGGTGTGTACCACCAGGAAGGAATCTGAGTCAGAATGATTGGCTAAAGACAACCTGTAAGCTAATCCCATCACCATAAAAGCCTGAGACTGTGAGCCTGGCAGAGCAGTTCTCCTGGGTTCCCTTACCTTACTGCTCTCCACCTGGGTCCCCTTTCCCAATAAAATCTCTTGCTTTGTCAGCACATGTGTCTCCTTGGACAATTCATTTCTGAGTGTTAGACGAGAGCCCAGTTTCAGGCCCTGGAAAGGGTCCCCCTTCTTGCAACAGCAGGGGGTATAAAACTGGGCCTCTAAGAAACATCAGGGCTCCTTGTTGGGAACTGATTCCCCTTGGACCCTGCTGGTGTAATAAACTCTACTCCACTGTCTTGAGTGTCCTCTGAGGTATGTTTGCAACTCCAGATTCCACAACACTTTCTGCCATATAGTAATGTGAATCAGGGATATCTCTATCTCTATCTATCTATCTATATATCTATCTATCCCCCCTCTGTCTTGAGCCTCTCTCCCACCTCACCCCATCCTACCCCTCGAGGTCATCATAGAGCATCAAGCTGGTCTCCCTGTGTTATACAGCACCTTCCCACTAGCTATCTATTTCATACATGGTCCTGTTTATAGGTCACCGTTACTTTCTCAATCTATCCCACCCTCTTCTTCCCCATGTGTTCATAAGTCCTCTATGTCTGCATCTCTATTCCTTCCCTACAGATAGCATTATCAGTACAATTCTTCTAGATTGAATATACGTGTTAATATACAATATTTTTCTCTTTTGGACTTACTTAGCTCTGTGTAACAGGCTCAAGGTTCATCCTCCTCACTACAGCTGACTTAAATCCATTCCCTTTTATGGCTGAGTAATAATATTCCACTGTATATACATATCACAACTTCTTTATCCATTCATCTGTTCATGAACATCAAGGTTGTTTCCATGTCCTGG